AAAAAAGCAGTCTTATCCAAAAAAATGGATAAGAGAAAGGGGAAAGTGAACTATCCAAATCCAAATCCTCAAGCATGCATGTTACAGAAGCTTTGATTCCAATTTACCATGGCCATCATAAGGTAAGCCTTGGAAGGACAGACAGCACAATCAACCTGAAGAACAAACCAGTCTTCTACAAGAAGTTATTAGGGCACCCCAAACACACACATACATTGCTATAGCATACCTGGAAACCAGGTTGCAAACTGATGACTGACAGACTAAAGACATGTCTGGCTTGAATACTTAAAACAAGTATGAATTTGTGGCTGTCATTTAAAAGTTGGGTATTTTACATTAAAAGTCAGGTTTTTGGCTACGTTGGGGTGAGGGAGGAATTGGATATGTGGTAAAATTCAGCTAAGAATAGCTGCTACCTTTTGGACATAATGAATATATAAATCACCTAGGAATTTTTTTTTTTAATGAAGACAGGAATGGATCCTCAGATTCTGCATTTTTAATAAATTTCCAGGTGATGCTGCTGATCAATAGCAAGGTTGGAACTCACTGGTTCCCACAAACTTTATGGGCATTAAAGTTTCTATCTAATTAAAAAGTGGTTGGTTTATTTTTTATTGGCCATACCAGGAAATGGAGAGAAGAAAAGTAGTAACAACAGAAATTATTACAAGTATAAATATATGTAAGGTGTACTAAATACACTTTGCTACCCTCACTTGCATAGCTATTCTAGTTCAATGGTAGACATGCCCTCCTCCCCAGCAGGAAAATATTCTGTAAATCAATTTGAACTTGATTGGATCTACCTCAGGAGACTCATTACATGACATTAACATACACATACCTATTCATTTTTCCTAACACACCTTTCTTAAAATCCATGTTCATTATGTAATCGATAGTGAACAAATGCATGTTGTTTTATTTCTGCTTTAAAAAAGCAATTAAGACTATCTCACAGCAGAAGGTACTGATTAGAAGCCCACAGACATCTTGTTTATCCCCTATATATTGTAAATTAGTAATGAATATTTAAAAGTCAACATATTTCACAATAATTGTGACTTCTAGAAGGAAGGAAGGCTACTGAGAAGATATGACAATAAAAAGGTCCAAATGCTCAATGGCCCAAACTGAGAGAAATGGTCTGAACTAAAATTAAAGAGTTATCTATGAAGAGAAACTAAAGTCTGAAGCATGAAATGTTACTGCTTAGGGACTATGAAGCTAGACAAAGTGGAGCTGAATCTAGAACTAAGGAACTCCGAAGTTTAATGGCCACATGAAGACAGAAAACAGCCAGAGAAATGGAAGAAAACAGTATTGTCACAGAAGGGAAGAAAAAAAGTATTTCGAAAAGGGAATAAGTCTGCAGTGTGCTGTAAGAAAGGTCAAACAAGAAGAGGATTCACAGTGTGCCATGAAAGTCATTGGTGACTTGACAAGAGCTGTTTGAGGCACAAATATATTTGGAATGAGTTGAGAACCCAAGAAATGGAAGCAAATAGACTACCTGAAAGCTTTTCGAATTAGATTTTGAAGTGGAGGACTCTGGATGACTGCTGAAGGAAAATCAGGATGTTTTAGTTACTTTATAATGGGAAATTAAAGCAAAGGTCTGGTTGGGAGAGAAAAATAGTTGAGGAAATGTTCCTTTGGAGAGAAGTGGGATCCTTCCCCTCACTGTGTCAAGTGCTTTATTGATCTCACTTAATTTTCCTCAATGATACTAAAAGGAAAACAAGATAGGCACAAATGTTGGTAGTGTTGGTACGGGGGGAGGAATGAAGAATGTGCCATACGATGGCTTCTTTTTTTTCCTGTGAAATACAAGACAAGGTTATTCACTGAAATAGCAGGATTGCTGGACAGTGTAAAATGTCACATTTGAGGTTGCTCTATTGTGACAGTTTTCAGCACTCAGGGACAGGAAAGCTCAACCCTAATAACAACTCTAGAAGGGAAATACTATCACCATGTGCATAATTTGAAATTTTGCTTTAACGTCAGCTGTATTATGGCAGAGCCAACCCTGATCTCTGGGCCTACACTCTTAATATCCACTCCCCTCTCCAGTATTGTACTACTAGACCTAGCCAGCATTCTACAATCACCTGAAGCTACAATAAGTCACAATAAGGAAAGTTAATTTTTAAAAAACCACATAGGATGCCAGTTATAAAAGGGACTAGAGGCCCGGTGCATGAAATTTGTGCGTGGGTGCGGTCCCTAGGCCTGGCCAGTGATTGAAGCGCGAGTGTCTGGTGTGGAAGGGCAGGTCCCAGCTAACTCTGGGCTCTGGGCAGCACCTGGCCCACAGGCCGGCCCTCCCCCC